ACAAGTACCATGAAAAAATATTAATGGGTGCAAATATGCAAAGCTCAACTATTATTAGACACTAGCTAAATAATCAAAACTTTTTTGTGTTTTTCTATCACTGGAAACATGTTAGCACGGAATTCACATAATAGTAAATTTACAGACTTGAGATATATAGCTCACCTCTCAGCTCCTTTGTTACTGTTAAATAAAAGCTTCGTTGTCGTTACGTATCGTATTTTATTTTATTTTCATGATAAACTTTGAAGGTGTGAAGTCATCATTATAACCATTTTACATGTTCTAGAATTCCTTTCGAAGAACGATATCAAATATATTTACTTCTCATCAATTTATCTAAGGCTCTTTCCCAGTCTTTCTATACGCCATACCTATCTTTACCAATTTTAAGTCCACAGAAATAGGAAAATCTATAATTTGGGTCAACCAAACTGACAGTCTTAAGTCCAAACATCAATCCAGCTCTTTATTTAGAGTGACGTAACTTAAAGTGAAATCTTCAAGAAGAACAAAACCTTTTTGTTAAACTTGTTTCATGCAAATCACTTTAGATATTCTAAAAATATGCGTAAAATAGATGATCGTTGTTTATTGTATACTCCGGGACGTTTTATCACTGTCATGAGCTCTCTGGGGATCTTAATGTATTTAGTGTTTGGTGTGAAATTCTAAGAGTTCTACAAGGTTACTGCTGCCATAGTAACTATGTATATCGTTTATCTTCAATATATTTCAGTATCATCTCCCTACCTTGGATATTATTTTTAATTCTGAACATCTAAGCTTAATGCAAATACCAAAATATTATCTATACAATATATATATATATATACGTATAACGTTTTGCTACTGTTGCATAATGCTTTTTCAACATTAATTTCTTCGAATCAAACTAAATCATAATACGTGAATATCATTTAATTATCAATATTGCCTAGGTTCAGTATATATTATCTCGTATGAATTTTGTTGGGACACGCACAATTTTCTGTTCTTTCATAACTAAAGAAATGTCTGAGGCTATCTAGCTTAAATTTCCAGTTAAAGCTAGCAATTAATTTGACCTTATTTCTATACGAGAACAAAATAAAGATGTGCGTATTGATAAAATCTGCACTAAGCTGTTTTTCCTATCTTAAGACACATAAAACATTCTTTCTCATTCACATAGATGAATTGATGAAAGCTAATTTAATACGAAAATTTAGTTATGAGCTTGTCAAGATATTAAAAAAAAAGCATTTGTCGGCTAGGTTAGTCTAATGTTTATATTATAGCCTATAATATATCAATTATATTTGTTCAATATACCAAAAGAATTTGTTAAATTTATGTCGTTGTTTTTTTAAGACTCAGCCGTGAAAAAATGATATAATGCTCAACTGTCAAATTTGTTTGTTGCAGATAAAAATTAAAAACAATGAAATAAAACCTTATTAAATTTGAATACTTAAACTTGTTTTCTATGTACAGCAAGTACAAAACTAATATCTTTAACTTTGCTTTTCAGCATTGTTTCACAGCTTTGTTGAAAGGATTTATAGAAATAAAAGTCAGCTATTTAACATAGCAAAAATAGAGATATTGACATTCTATTGTTCTATATGCAGGGGTTACTTCTAAAAGAAATTCGTGGTGTCAGACAATGTATCTATGAGTATCGTGTTCTTTCGATAATGCCTCAATTTGGGAAGATAGGTGTTTGTAATTGGAAAAATATCAAAGGCGTTAGTTGATTTTCGACCGTTAGTATTGGTAAGAAACTGAGAAACATCGATTTCAAGAAGAAAAACTTTGTTCGGTTAACAGCTTCTTGGATAAGTATTTTGGAAAGCCAATTATTTTGTTGATTCAGGCCGTCACCATCAATGCGTAACCAGCTTCTAAAGAAATAATAGACTATCTATTTAACTGAGTTGGACTAATCTCAATAATCATATTGAAAAAATGCTATGAGAAAGTAGTCTTTTAATAAATCAAAGTAAGCAGGACCCTCTTTTTAAATGAAAATCAATTTTATCAGAAGAAATAACAAGATAAAACATGTATTTAAATAAGAAAGAATATTGTGACGTAATAATCTTTAGTTGTTTTAGTGAGATTAGCGACTGTGGTAAACTAGTTTTAAGCAGTAAAAAGCACCATTTTTGTGGATGCTTAAACCACTATCTTAAGTTACGATGTAACAAGACAGCTAAAGAAAAAGAAAAATAGCGACTAATTCCAAACAGACATAAGTACTGTGAAAATATTTGTTCATTATTTATTGAATGTATGGCAGACAAATATAGCAGTCTTCCAAGCAAAGCAGAAATACCACCTGATTTATATTGAATATAAAACATAGAGTTGTTCCCATATATATATATATATAAACACTTAAGATATAAGAATGGTCCACATACAAGTATTTAGTGCCATTTGTAAATAACAAGAGAAATCAACCTGAAATATTTTTAAAACTCCAGTAACAGTTTTATTAATGTAATAACACAGCAGAGGTCACTCAATTAGTATTTCTCCTAATTCTAAACGAAAATTGAGTGTGTATTTTAGAAAAAAGTATAAAGCGCTTAAAAAGTAACTTTTAATTCAAAAGTTAAATTGTTATATTATCTAAAGCGACGCTTACAGTCATGCCTTTCTATCATTAAGGCATGTCTCGGTTCACAGAGGTTACTCACGTGTGTTCAAACCATCTTATTTATAATATACACTATCCTATCAAAAGTCATGGGACACACACACCTCTGATTGGAGGAAAATTAGTGTGACGATGAAATATGCAACTAGTTTGGCCTATAAAGGTGCTCAGCGATTCGTTCGGAAGTCATTTCGAACTTGTACGCCGAACAGAGTTTCAGAGTGGAAGGATAGTTGGATGTCATTTGAAAAAAATGTCTGCACATGCAAATACGCAACAATTAAACATTCCCATGTCGGCAACTGGCAACATGCTGAAGAAATGGAAGTCCAGGTGACAATGAGCCCAAGAGACGACCAGGTAGGTGTAAAATACTGACTGACAGGAGCCGACGCGCCTTGAGAAAGCTGGTTACCTCATCTCACCATCAGACAGTAAAAAAATGTGTGTTTGGAGATGTGAGCAGCCACAGGTAATCCTATAAGTGTTTCCACGACACGTCGAGAGCTGAATGCCATGAATTTTACGAAAGAGCTGCAGCCCATAATCCGCTGATAACAAAAACACCGTCGATTGGCAAAGGGCAAGGCACACCGAACCTGAACTGTGGATCAATGGAAACCGGTCCTGTGGAGAGACGAGTCCCACTACAAGCTCTTCCAGTCTGATGAAAGTGTTTGGGTATGGAGGATACATGGAGAACTCTTATTACCTGAGTGTGTTGTCCCAACAGTGAAATTTAGAGGTGGCGGTATCATGGTGTGGGGGTGCTTCTCATGGTGTTGAGTAGGTCTACTGGTCGCAGTGCATGGGTCCATGAATGCCGAGTCATACGTTGATGTTCTGTACAATTCTGTGTTTCCTACGTTGTGGCAATTTTATAGTGCCAGCCCTTACACCTTACAACATGATAACGCTTCATGTCACAAAGCAAGGATTGTGAACGAATGGTTTGAAAAGAATAACATCGGAACATTGCAGTGGCCAGCACAACGCCCCGACCTCAACTCGACAAAATATCTTTGAGATAAACTGGAACGCAAAATTAGGGCAACGCCAAGAAGGCCTTCTCCATTAGTGGAGCTTACTAATGCTTTAAAGAAGGAGTGGAGCACAATACCCCAGCTTTCTACCAGAAATTAGTAGACAGTCTTCCACGACGCATTGAAACAGTCATTAAGGCCAACGGCGGAACGACACGCTATTAATTTCTTGGAATAAAGACATGTTTTATTCATAACTACTTGTGTCCCATGACTTTTGGTAGGATTGTGTGTGTGTATATATAGTTTTGGAAACCTCATATCTCTAGTTTTAAAATACATTCAAAGATAAATATCAAAGCATATTTTGATTTTAATCATAAAAATAATGAAGTTAAATAAAGATAAGTTTTATGACAATTTTTGATGATGTAATTAATGAAACAGCTGAAGCTTTAAATTTGTTACCTAATGAAAAATAATTATTATAGAAACACTTCGTAAAACTATACAATGTATAGCTGATGTTTTCAAAACGTTGTATTTAATGACGATTAAATACCTTACTTAAACTTTCTGTAAACAACACAAGAAACAAATCATTGTTTCAATATTTTTACCTTATAACCACATTTGACAAGACAATATATTTGAAGTTTTAAATTTGAATTTTTGAACTTTTTTACACTATATTCGATATTGTTACGACTTCGCTCAAGAACCAGTTAAAACATGATTATGAACTTATGTAGAATTATAAACGGACTTTTCTCTACGTTAAAATACATTTATTGCGAGCTTTCGGCTCTCTTACCGGAGCCTTCATCTGGCAACAATGCACTCAGCTCGCAATAAAAATATTTTAACATAGAGAAAAGTCCGTTTATAATTCTACATAAGTTCATAATCATGTTGAGCGCATTGATGTTCGATGAAGGCTACGTTATGAGTCTTAAACAATGATTATGATCTTCTTGTTATTATAATAATTAGATTAGTAGTAAAAACTGTACTACTTCAAACATGAAAAAAGGAAGTTGTGTGAGTTTTTTGGGGGGGCGGAAATAATAATTTACACAATCTGCAGTGTTTAAAAACAACGAAATCAAAGGTCGAGGAGGTGAAAATCAAAAACTAAATGAAAATAGGTTTTATGATTACTTTTCTGAGTAATATTTTGTTTTTTATTGATTATTGTTGATGCATTCCACCGCGTTACTTTTCTTCACCATATTAGATCATTTTCATCGCATCATCTTACATAGTAAACAGGCTTCGTTTTGTTTTTAATTGACTGTTTCAGATTATTCTTCACCATGTTATTTCACACAGGGGGTCACATTTTGTTGATTTTATTATTATTATTTCAGATCTTTTTCATCGCGTCATCCTACAAAGTGGGTCGGTCTTCAGTCCATGGGCTATCGCAAAAGACTCGTTATTTTATGCCCGTCAACTGGCTGAAAGATTGAATTGTCCTACGAGTATCGACACTTCCACTATTGAATGTTTACGTCATCGTTCACTTCAAGACATATTAGATGTCAAAATAGAAATCCCAGATTATCTAACTACATTTGGACCAACAATAGATGGTATTTCTCTCCAAAATGACCCAGAATATCAAATGGAAGAAAACAGCGATATAAACCGTCAGTATGATCTCCTCTTTGGAGTCACTCGAGCAGAATCTTATTTTCAGTTTTCGGCTAAAGAAGAAAAGGTTGGCATTGATACAGAAAGGCGTAACAGAATTTTACGTACTCTAGTTAGAAATATGTTTAATTATCATCAGCAAGAAATCTACCTTACAATTATCAACGAATACACTGATTGGAGTCGACCTAATCACTTTCACCCTGTTAACCTATTCGAGAAAACCGTAGACGCTCTTGGAGATGGCTTGGTTGTGGCCCCACTAGTAAAATTAGGTAACTTACAGGCTCGTGTCCAGAAAAATACCTATTTCTATGTCTTTAACTACCAATCAGAGGACGGAGATTACCTGCCCACGATTGGCTGTATCCATGGTGAGGATCTTCCATACATCTTTGGTGCTCCTTTGGTAGAATCGCTTGCACACTTTCAATCAAACTATACTCGGTCGGAGGAGTCTCTTTCTGAAGCTGTTGTTACTCACTGGACGAATTTTGCTCGAACAGGGTAATGTATGACTTAACCACTTTGAAATAGTAAGATGTCTGATGTTTTCATTAACAAAAAATATTATCCTCCTAGACGTGAATTTAAATACTTAATTCTTAAAAAAGGTAAAAAAATAAACATCGTATCCAATAGATGACGTAAGTTAGACGTTTGTGTTAATAATGTTACATTTTACTGAAATAACTTACTTGCTTATTATTAAACAAAAGAACATGTACGACATATAAGACAATCGACTCGTATCTGAACGCAAATATTGTATTTTATCGAGACGTGTGTTAATACGCCAAGTAATACTGATATGAAGTGTTACACAAATCTGAAACTAGATTTTGTGCAACGTTCTACGCCACTTTAGCTATAACAAATGGCTTTAAAAATCATTTTCAAGTATACATAGTTCAAGACCTTATCTGAACTATTAGATTTTGTTTTTAATTAATGTCGGTATAAGTATTTAATATTTTCATCCTCATCAGCCCTTATGCCACACATTGGCTAAACGGCCACAACAGAAATAACTGGTTGGAATAATGAGCAATAAAACATAAAGACAAAATTCAATGTCAAAGAAATTGTACTACGTAAGCTCTTGTCCCCAGTGGGAAAGCTAAAATCTAGTGTTCGATTCCCCGTGGTAGACACAGCAAATACCCCAATGTGGCTTTGTTTTAAAAGAAACAAACTTAAGCGTTTAGGTTTTACTGGAAGCAATATGTATACATGATTATATCTGTAAATAGATAATACAAGAAGGCCAAAATACAAACAGTATCGTAAGGAACACAAATAAAACTAGGTTACAAAATACCAAGTGAGCAATGTAAACAGATTCTCTAATAATAGAAGTAACTGCAGAAATAGGAGCCACAAAGCGGTGCGGATACACTATGTATCAGATCTGACATTCATTCGCAACTCTAATACTTAGATCGAAATTAGAAACTTAATTTGAATTAGAAATAGATAAAGGTGCTTTAGCCTACAGCGTTTCTCATTTGAAATATCAGAAAAATATCTACATCCAATTAACTGAAACTAGCTATTCCTAATAGAATAGAATCATTACCGGTTAGGACTGGCTCTATAACAATTCTTGCAAGTACTGACGTTGATGAAAGGTATAATTATCTCGAAAAAAAAATAGTGTAATTTACATACTTCTAATTATGTGCAGCTCTTATACAAAGAAGCTGTCAGTTCTTTTCGAACATCATGGTGTTGCATAAAACCCGTTAAGATACCTCTTATCCTAGGCAAGTTTATTTGTTTGTTTGAAATTAAACACAAAACTGCACAATGGGTTATCTGTGCTCTGCCTATCACGGGTATCGAAACCCGGTTTCTAGCGTTAAAAGTCCGCAGACGTACCGTTGTGCCACTGGGGGTGGGGCTTATATACTAGACAAATCTGAGACGTCTGTTAGTAGTATAGTGTGGTGCTCACTATATTTCATGTTTATAGATACAAAATCTTCTTGTAATATAAAAATGGACAAAATTTCGGTCTCTGTGCTGAAAAAATTTAAATCTGCTCTAAAATGAGACAGTAGTAAAATTTAATAATGGTGTTACACTTTTATGATACTTTTTATCGGTAATTTTTATAAATTATTCTTCTGAAGATGAAACTAACTTTTGTGAAATGTTCCACTATCTTAGAAATCCAAATTCGACGGAATACAAAAACTATGACGATAAACACAGCCGAAGACTCAGCCGTTTCGATTGGCATAGCTACGACTTCCCCTACCAGAAACACACAATAATAGGTAAGTACTCCATTGGTCAGATGCCTTATCATTGGCGGTTGTACTCTCTTATGATTTCACGCATATAGATAAGAAATAAATACTCTGTACATGATGAAATAATAAATTTTGTTATATTTTCCAGCTTATTACATAGAGAGTAATTTAACTTGTTTACGTCATCATTGTGAAAATATTACTATCAGATGCTTTAATGAGGGTGACTAAAATTAGGTTGTTTTACGGTCCGTCCAACAGTTACTTATATTGACTTTTCAATTATAGAAATTGGAAATAACTGTGATAACATACTAAACATTCTTCTAAATCCATATTTTTATCTATCAGTCTCACTGCAGATGTTCTATTCAAATCTTAATCGGAATTGTCTATTATAATTGTTGAAGACAACAGTGAAATATCTTAGGATTTTCTGCCGATATTTGTATTTCAATTACATATCTAGCTTAATTACCAAGACAACACTACTTTGGGAAGAAGAAGTTTGCTGAAAAGAGTGGACACATGCTTTACACTACATAAGGTACAAACGCTGAAATGTTAAATGTTGAATCAGAGAAACGGTTTACCGAAGATGACTTGGACGTATAAAAAAAGTCATAACACCTGTCATATTTTCTCATTTTCCTGTGTATTTCAATGGCAATACCGAATAACTACAGCTATTTGTTTTTAATTTCCACATGCCAAGCATCGCATCACAGTTAGGCTAAAGTCAATAATGTTTTATTTCATGTAACCTCCCTTTTAATTGAAGGTCAAGAAATCCGCGAAATGTAACAATGACGTTATCGTATACTTTGGTCCGATATAGACGCATTTGCGTGAAAATCACAATTTGACGCATGTTTAAACATACACGGCTTCCGCTAGCACCATAATTACGCATTTCTTCCAGACAAAATACCTTTGTGTGACTTTGTGGTTAAGACGCTCGCAATATGAAGGTCATAGGTTCGAACCCCCATTATCAAACATGCTCGCTCTTTCAGCTGGAGAGGCGTTATAATGTGACGGTCAATCCCACTATTCGTTGGTAAAAGAATAGCCCAAGAGTTGGCGGTGGGTGACGATGACTAGCTGCCTTTCCTCTAGTCTTACACTGCTAAATTAGGGACGGCTAGCGCAGATAGCCCTCGTGTAGCTTTGCGCGAAATTCAAAACAAACGAAACAAAGTAGCTAGCGCAGATAACTCTCGAAATTCAATAAACAAACAAAATAGCTTGATCTATTTTAAAACATCTCACTAACACTGCTGATTTAATAAATAAATTGATGAGATATATATCAATATATATATATACATTATTCGCAATTTAAACGTTCATTTAAATGCTAATTATGCTTTGAAATAATAAATAATTTAGTCTACACTAAGCACGTGACTTTTTTGTTTTTACGTTTTCCCGCCATTCTTGCTCTTTAAAGGTGAATGAACTGGTAGATAGATAGTTATTAAAACTTGAAGTGTATGAAAAATTATTTGAATATAGAATTAAGCGCATCATAGATACACTGATTGAACTGTATTAAAATATATGTTATTCTATTGGTAGAACTCGTTAAGAATGCTTGGAAAATGATGCTTTATGTATTTAGCTTCAGGGTCCGTTCTCTCTATTTCATCATTTTGTAAGATATTATGTTCTAGCAAGATGTGACCACAGAATTCTGAGCATAATATCTGATAGTCATTGTAAATTTATTCAGAATGTATATAGTTTGTTATACTTGCAACGTACTACAGAGCAGCAGGTTTCGGCTAAGTTATTTAATGAACATTTGTTCAATAAAGTACGGTGAGATAACACATCAGTACAAGACATTTACACGAAGAATGATCGAACTAGATGACTCAGTAAGAAATTGAGCCGTTAGTAATTACAATCGCTCTCATTAAAACATTAAAATTATCCCGCTTAAATGATCACAAAAGTTTGATAATTTAAAATCTTATGATAGTTTATGGCAGTTATTAGTTCATACGCGAGCCATACACACTATCCACTGCATTAAAAATTCACTGAATAACCATTCCAATACCAAATTAATATTTTTATTGGTGATTAAATATCATGAAGAATTATTTTTATGGCATATAATTTAGTTAAATTACTCAGTGTTATCTTTTCTCAGTCTCTCCAAAATGTTTTGCTCCATTAAACGTAAACATACCATATCAAGCAGTCTTCCCTTGCGACAATATCCCGAAAACAGTTTTTAATATAATATCATTCTGGTTCCAGCACAGGGTTAGCATCATTAACTAGACTATAATGGAGATGCAGACAATATGACAAACACGCTAATGCACTTTATAGCATTCTCCACAACGTTTGTTTACGGTATAAGACGTCAAGGCATTGCAGGCAAAAAACAAAAGGGGAGGATGTGGTGGGAGGGCGTGTTCTTTCGAGTAACTAGTTCCATATTTGTAGAATAATAAGAGAGTTAAGCCTGTACTATGGATCTAATATTTGTCGTGGATAAAAAAATAAAGTTGTTTACTTGTATAGAATGGTGATGGAACTTGTACGTGATAGGGAGAAACACTGATGTATTCTACCATTAGAACATGGTACACTTAACAGCACAAATAACTCATGTTATACGTAGTTTACTCTAATTGAAAATTACTTAAACCATATGAAGTTCAAAAGATGTTCAGACTCTTTTTTTTTCCTCAGAAGAAGAGATGAAGTGAGTTAAACTACTGATAGAGAAGCCAACTTGGAAGTGACACGTATTTCCAAGCGAAGAATTAAAGTACAAATAATGAAAGTATGGCCGGATTGGAAGCGGCAGTCTTTGGCAGAATAAAAGTTTAATATTCTGACAGTCGTTTATTGAAAGTACAGTACAGTGCCTTAAAATTTCTTAATAGGATCTGAAGTACTTTAATCAACACTTAATATATATGTGAATAATCCTTTCAAAATTTAAAAATCAGCTTTATCAGAAGTCTAATAGAAAAATACACCGGATTTCATCAGATCTCAAGTTGTAATAAAAGAAAGTCCACTGAACAGCAAATTGTCAAACATAAAGCCTATTTTTAATATAAAGAAAAATTCAGTTTTCTACACATATTATATATGTACACTATGGTACCTTATCGCGAGAACGCATTATTGTACATTTCGTTTTACAGTTAACTTCTCGATATGTGTGTGTGTATGTTTTGTTGTTTTTTCTAATGGAAGAAAGCACAAATATATAAGTATTCTTCAAAAGAGAATTCGCTCACATAGCCACATCCCCTTGAGAGTGCGTTTTGCACAAGTAATCAGAACAAATCTTTCTCGTCTTTTTTCTTCATGTACCATTCCATTGGAATTTTTTACAGTTGAGATATCCAGAAAATTGGGTAGAATTTAGTTGAACAAAATCTTCAGAAGAAATCGTATGCAACCCTGAAAAATAGTTAAGTTTTTGTGAGATATAAAAGACTGTTTAGTGTAGGTAGTATTATTTAATTAGTTTGTTAATTAATATTTCATGATTGTTTAGTTTTTTTATAATAAGAGAGTTAAAAGCAGACGAATATTGGAAGTTGCGTTTATAATTCATTGATGTTGAGACTATCGAACGTCATGTAAAATTTACTGATGTCGAGGATGTAGAGATTTCTAGAAGGCGAGCAGACGATTAAGTGATGAATATATAAATGGTGTGAAACGAGCGGGAACAGCAAACAGGCAGAGGAAACGAAAGAGTAAAGTCACGGGAAGTAGAAGTTTGGCCAAGGAAAGTTAAACGTAAAGTTAACTGCCGTAGAAGTGAAAGGCCTAAAGGTTAATATAGGTCTAACGATTAAGATATTACAGGAAAACTAACAGTCTTAAAATAGATAAGAGGAATAGTTTATTCTATCAAAGCTAGTTCTAAATTAATTGAACCAGCCTGAGTGCACTTTGACAAAAGGAACACACGATATCTGAAGTATGAGGACCAGATGATTACTAGAAGAGCAGTATACGACTGTGATAACTTACGCTATAACTGTAAGTGAATTATACACGGAATACTAGTGCGATAGAAATAGAGAAAGGTAGTTCGGATTGTCAACTGAAATCCTAAAGCAACTGAATAGACCTAAGCAGACTTTTGACAACAAGAAGAGAACTATATATATATATATATATATATATATATATATAGT